TGGGATTCGAATTGAGCGGAGTTGGGGAGTGCGTTTCCAGGATAGATTGGCGAAAATGGGAGGGAAAAAGCGGCGACGAAAGGGGAGGGGGAATGAGGGCAAGGACACGGGAGGGGGTACGGTCTCGCGTGAGGTGGACGAAAATATGGATGTTGAAACTTGTGGTCATGAAGTTGTGGGAGTAGAGCAGTGCATAGATTTGGGACGGACTATAAGCGGGTGGAGAGGGATTTTAGACGAGGATAGGACGAGCAGTGGATTGTGATGTACAAAAAAGAAAGAAAAAAAACTACGTTTACGATTTTATCTCTTCGAGGTAATTTCTAGAACGAGTGAACAGATTTTGATGCAGTTTTCACTAAAAGGTAGTTTGTTTTCTCGGGCATAACTTATGCTACTTTTTTCAATCATTATTTTCTCTTACGTAAAGAATGTTTTTAATACAAATCTACAGATTTTATTCCGATCTTAATGAAATTCTGAAAACGTAACCTTCAAAACAAATGAAAAGAGAGAGTACTCCAAATTTTGCAAAAAAATATTCCTAGTCCCCTTTCTGAAGCAAAATTTAAGAAAATTTGAACTCTTTCAGTTTTTCGCAAATAATTCGAAAACGGTAAGTTGACTAAGGTGAATTGAAACTTTTTTAAAGCCCATAACATTCATTTTGATTCCTTCTGACAGCGCAATTAGACTTTCAGTAATCAAAAGCGGACGTTCGTCCAGTGTGTGGAGTATGACAGAAAACATCTGTTTACACCTGCTCGAGAGATAGCTGCAGTTGCACTACAGATGAATTCATTTAATTTTCTCTAATAGACGCTTCCGATTTCCGGTACTACAACGCAAGGTACTTAAGCTAGTACAACAATTAAGTGGGAAACATCCGGATAGCGAATTCAAAGCGAATTTAATTTCTTTTTTCCATTTATGAAACTTTTTCATTTTTGAAGAGACTTAACTATTTTCATTCCTGAAAAGAAATATGATTTTCTACAAACAATCGAAACATTGTTCTTACGTAATTTTTTTCGCGGTTAAATATGGAACGCACGTAAACCTACGAAAGAAGTTGACACATATATCAAACGTGTCTGCCGCTTAACCGCATAACTTTAACAGATTTTATGACAACACGACCGAAACGCATCAAGATAGGCAAAAAACCTTCACGCCGCTTTACATAATTTCACTTTGATGATGAACTATAAATATACACTGACAAAGGATATTTTCGCAACGATCTTAAAATAGAAAGAATTCTAGTGTTTAACACTTAAAATTCACAAAAGACTACGAAATACATGTTCTTTACAAGAAGTAAACTATACACACTTTAGTATGTGTGTGTTCCTTTATTTCGTACTGTATCCGATAGTTTTTAGTGAACTATGAGCAAACAATAGAGGATAAACGAATATATTATTATTCACACTGAACAATTTTACTTGCATGATCACATAATGTTTATTTTTAGAATATTAGGAAATACACTATGCATTTTTTATACGATTGCGACCACATTACAACTACATTACATGAGCAAAAACACCGCATATTCTTTATGTAATGTGATGGGGTTTATAAGAGCTAAATTATATAAATTAATATTTTATTGACCAAGAACCATAATATATTAATGTGGCCCATTTTTCCACAATTTCTGAAAGACCGTCTTGTGCACTCGTGAGAATCCCAAACATGGTATTTCGTCGCTTATCACAGATCGCACACATCTGGTTTTCGTCCCACTTCGGATTTTCATCGAGACTCCACCAATAAAAGCAATTCACAATGCAACATCCACGCCACGACTGGTCTATTTTGGGACGTAATTTCCTTCAATGGGTATGTTAACAAATCGCTAAACAGATTACTAAAATGCAACGTGCATTTTTTCCTCATCAACAATCACCACGCTTCGCTTACATTTTTTCCAAAGAACTTCCTCTGTTTTTTTATTCTATATGAGAGAATGTGAGACGTGACAACCAACACAATACCCTTTCCCAAAAACAAAAACCTGGAGAATGACAAAATTAACTAAATAGCACTCGTAAACCCCACATACGACATAATCCTTTCACTTTAATACACCTTCCCTACCTGGCGTAAATACGACGAACTTCAAAAACCGAAAACAAAAAACCGAAAATCCGTAAGTGATGGTTTTTATTTCACAACGAACACTGCCGCAACGTGCTGCACTCGTCCGCGGCCACATTTCGCGAGCCGTCGCCCCACGCACTACTCATGCTGAGTCACAGCGCTGCTCGGGAGCGAGTCTTCTGCGGCGGCGGCGACACGCGGGCGGGCGGGTGCACTAGCGGGCTGCGCGGCGGATCGCGGTCGCCGTCTGGACGCTACTGCGCCAGCCAGCCCAGCCACCGGCGCGCGCAGAGGCGGCGGCCGGAGCGGGGCGGTGGTGGGGCGGAGAAAAACAGAGAGGAGGGAAACGAGCGGCGTGGACACGGACAGGGTGGGATCAGGGCCGGGGGCGACGACAGGGGTCGGGGAGAGGCCTGATGGGTTCAGGGACGATGCAGGGATGGACTCAGGATCGGGGGCAGGGACAGGGACGGAGATGAGGCCGGTGACATGTGCGAGGACCGGACGGGGGCGGGGACGAGATGAGGTGAGGCTTGGAGGGGGCGTGGGCGAGGACGGGAACGGGGACGTGGAGTGTGCGGGAACGGAGGCGGTGGGGACGGGAGTGAGATGGCGGCGGGAGTTGCAAAGTGTCGGCGTCGGGACGCAATGGAGTCGAGGGCGCCGCTTGCAGCGACCCCACGCGGGCAGACGGCGAAGCACCGCCGTCAAACGAGTCTCGCCGACGCACAGTGGTAGACACATCCAGTATTTTCCACAATATTTGCATTGTGGCAATAAAATTCGAATTCGACTTGGAAGGCATGTACTCCAGTGATAGTCATAAAATAGGCTCTACACATTCGAATAAAACGTAGTTAACAAATCTGACTGCTTCAACCGTCTGTTTATTTTTTCTATGAATTACTCAATATTACAAAATAGGTATTTAATTCTTATATTGAATTAATTCTTGAAACTAATCTTATGTAATTGATATTTAAATGTTCCCGAATATTTTTGTTTTCTTTCGCCCAGAATATACCAGAACAAATTAAATGAGAACAATGACAGCAATACTGCATATGAAATAGCCTCTTATCACATTAACTCTAAGGATAAACAACGTCATTGAATGGTAAGAGGGCTTGTAATTTATTTAATTAATGGTTGCAGCGTCTGCATCAGCCTCGTCCAGCAATTTCCAAAACGCCTCTACTTGTGAACTGTTTGTTCAGTTCAGACATCAAATATTTGATTACACGAGAAACACGCAGGGCAGTGACCCAGAAAAACTTCGTGATTACTTTCAGTAAAGGGCTCTTTCCCCTCCAACAAGCGTTTCCTTTCTTTTAAATAACTTCCGAGTTTGTGTGGTGTCTAGTCTCGGGCCGCTCGTTCAGTAAACATCCCCCCAAGGTGTAAGGCACGAAACTTGGGGAATGGGAGGCGTGCTCTCCCGAGCGAGTGCGGTCGACCTTGCAACGCGCCCGACCGCGCCACCTCGCCACTAGAGAATAATAAATTTCGGGCGCGTCAACTGCTAAGGTTATTGGTCCCTACGTTGTTTTGTTTTTTTCTCGAGAGGTGGCGGAGGTCTTCCCCCGCTAGATCGTAAAATTCGGAATTTCCCGCAACCAGGTATCTCCAACTAGCAGGACACCGACCCAGCCGGAACAAGCTCTAAGCTCCTGTCCGGACTCCCAGCATGTGTGATAGTATAGTGCACGTGGGTGTGTACGTGAGTAAGCAAGGGGTGAGAATAGGACAAGGAATGGGAAGAAAATATCGCTCGCGATCCGTGGCCCATTTGTTCTGGTGTTGATCGGAGACACCACGGACAATAATCGAGCGGAGCAGCTCGTCTCGAGAATTTTCCTAAGCCAGCGGCTGTATTCGACTTAGCTACGTTGCTAAACTACCGTCGGGACTCGAACCTAGCACCTCCGGGTCAGAGGCACTGCAGTGACGTCAACTGATTCTCTCTGAGCCACCTGCCCGGTAGGTACAAGGGAATCTCCCCTTCCGCCACAATCAATGACACGCACCCTACCCGCTTAACCCAACTCGTGTTCATTTACGACGTTGTTACGAACAGTTTGCGTTGCGCATGCGTTTAAAGTTTTGATTGTCAGCTGCTTAACCATCGTTTTCTGCAGCCAGCCCGTCAGCCATAATCTCTAACTATCAAAGGTGATATTCGCCACGAGTTCCGCAGAATCGGCTTCGTATCACGCTCTTGGACAAAGATTGCGTCTCCCGCATGGGGCGCGAATCGCCTCCTTTGAGAATAGCACCAATCGCTGTTGTGCGCCGACTCGTTAACAGCCGTACGGGTGGAAAGAAGACAGTTGATTAGAGGTGCAGTAAAACTTGCTCAAAGTGGAACCTCAAGTGACCACATTTTCCTTTCCGTATTACACAATTCTGATTTATACAATGTAATACTGCAGGATTTGCGATTTGCGAGATCGTCATTTAAGTTCACATTAGATTTACGCATTAAACACTTTCCGCTTTGAGCAAGTTTTGCTGTATTACTCTAAGAAGGGACCCCGCTTTGATAGCTATAGCTCGGCTACCGCTGGCAAGATAAACTGTACGTTGTAACTATGTGCTCGATACGCCAATACCTTCGGTTGCAGTTGTCTCTCTGGTAAAAGGCTTCGGTAGGATATCTTGTAATGCTATTGTTCAATACGACCTGTCAAACAGAACTCTTTGTAACAGAAGTCAGTTCCCCGCTCCTCGTGAGAAAAGAGTTCCACCATCAGCGCCTTATTAGTATAATTTTTTCTATTTTTTTAAAATTATTTTTCTATTTTCACATTTTTGTATTGTTAGATTGGTTTGTTGCTTGTTAGCGATTCCGGGCGAGTCAACTACTAGGTCATTATTCCCGGAAGCGGAGGGCATGCGTTTTTCCTCTGGATGTGGCCGGGATCTTCTCCCTTTGGATGGCCAGATCCGGCGGCATCCAAACGTGGGCTAGCGGGGTTTCCCCAACCAGTTATTTCCCACCAATGGGACACTACTCTAGCCGAGACAAACGGTAATCTTTCGAACGGTCTCCCGACGTATGTGGCAGTGCAGTGCATGTTAGTGTGTGTGTGTGTGTGTGTGTGTGTGTGTGTGTATGCGCGCGCGTGTGTGTTGTGAGGGTGTGGGTGAGGAGTGAGGATTGGAAAAGCAAGATCCAGTGCGTTCCGTGGCCCGTTTGTTAGGGCATTGCTTCGGCTTTGTATTGCTATTTTTTTTGTTGTTGTTGGCTTTTTTATGGGTTTCTATTTCTACTTCAGAAGCCGCTTCGTCCGCAGGTTTGCAGCAGTGCGCCCACAGCGCGCGCCAGGCGGAGGCGCGGCGCGACGCACAGCTATTTCCGGCGCTGCAACGTGTGACCTCACGCGCGCGGGCGGGCGGGCGGTCCAGCGCTCCTGCAGCTCCCCGCCCCTCAGCCTCTCGCGCCCAGCCCCGCCGGCACTCCTCCTATATTCCGCTCGTAGCGCACACAATCGCGTCAAGTGCTCGGGCGACTCGGACAGCCGCAATTCGCACCGTACACATCCGAAAATAGAGAGAACGTTTATCATCCTAGTCGTTATCGGGGGCATAATCGTCGCCGTGATCGACAGCACGGCCTAGGGAATCGCCCGACTGCACCGCGAGGCCAGTTCTCCTCTCACTCCCGCTACCCAGCTAATCCCCTCCCTTTCGCTTTTCGTTACCCGAGAAGGCGTAGCCCGACTGCATCCCGTTTCGTTTATTCGGTTTTTCGAAAGAAGTAAAAAAAAAAAACCGTTCGGTTTACATTCTTAAGTAGCGCAAATACATGTTCTCACACCAGTTTATAAAAAACCTCGAACACAGGTGAACACGGCAGGATCTTTGTAATTGTGTATGTTAAAACAGTTTGTTTCCACGTTTCTTTAAGTGGAGGCTTTAAACTTTTAAGCGGTGTTTTTCAATGTTGGTAGAGCTCTAAAAGGAGATGCAAATTTTCTTAAGAGACAGAAGTGGACTGGTTATAATCAAACAATATAAAACCAAGTAGGCCACGGTAAAATTAGAAAGCAATCCTTATACTAGAAGGAAAGCGGTCGGGGATGCAGTCGGGCTATGCATTTTTGGGGAGAACGATAAAGGGCTTAGCAAAAGTTAACCGCGGGATGATGTCTGTATGCGCCCCGTGGTCTAGGCCTCATGGCACGTTCCGTCATATCGAAAGCCTTCCCCTCCTCCCCGTCTTGCAGCTACTCTACATACCAGTGGCAGTCGAGCAGAGTCCATCCTTTTGAAATGTCCTAGCCCTTATCAGTTCAACACTCGCTCTCAGGAACGTCATTCCTACTGAGTTACATCCGACTTCCCACTGTCTCGTTCTCTATAGGTATATTATGAAATAGGATTACTTTCAGCGCCTTTACTATATAAAACTTTAGTGTAATTTTTTACTTTCAGGAACTCATCAACAAATTACAAGGATAGTACTATTAATACCTTGGAATTATTTATTTCTTAGATCTCCCTCGTAAAGAAAGATAAATAGATGTAACGAAATGAAAGAATTTTAAACAAGTCGCATGTTGTATCCAAATATAAGCTCAATTGCATCAATTGTTAGTACTCCACATCAATACCGTCCATATATACGAACTCGCAAAACAATCTACCCCAGCACCTTAACTTAAGCTCCGTAATTTCTATCCTTTAACTTAGCCGAATATGAATGAAAGACAATAAGGAGTGTTGATTAGATTTGATAACAAGAAATTGTCGCTCCCAGGTAATGGCAACAATGAAGAATTCACCTAATGCTTACCTACAAAATAACTCCAACAACCCTCCCGGATCAAGCAAAATGTGCCCCAGAAAATACGCACAGGTACTCACTTTTTAGGTAAACTTTCATAAATGCACGTGTTCTAGAGACAAGAACTTAATATGAAAGCAAGGAGACAAAAAAAAAAGTAATGTCACGTGACGTTTACCAAAATACTTCATCGTTCTCTCCGTTTTCAATATTAGGTGCTCCTTTTTCTCTCTTTAAATCTTTATTCAGGGATACGTCTAACTTAGGAATTTTCGGAAATGCGCTGCAATCTCGATAATTTCAACACCAGTATCTTTAATTCCTTGACATTTCAACTTTCCCTGCAACTGAGGTTTC